CTCTCAAAGAAGCCGAGTCATCAGCTGTGAGGACACTTCATACGACGAGCAGACATCCTCGAGCAGATACTTTCAGCCATTTTCCTCCTTAGCAGTAGTTAAATAGCATTTAAGTATTTTCAGTAGTTTCAATGTACTGAAATACTGCAAAATATTAATAAGTACTTTCAAAATGCTTTATAATCAGTTTCAGCAGTAACTACAGGCAACGTCGAGAAGAGAAAGGCTTGAAAACCATTTCAGGAATTTAAAAAACCCTTCTGTGTTTTATAACCCCTCTCTTGGCAGACAGAAACACTTATATTCATTTTCAAGTATCTCTTCCTCTGCCTCTTTTCCACATACACCCGTACACAACACTACTGTACAGATGCTAAGAAAACACTCTAAAGGATGGCAGACTTCTAGGAATGCTGCACGCTGGTCTCAGCTGTGTCCTTGTTGAGCTACACGGTAGCTCACACGTCGCTACCGTAAGCTTACCGGTGCACGAGAAGCCCGCTGCTCTGCCTGATTATTATACTTACCAGCTATTTTGTGAAGCGTGTTTATTTTCACAATTTTAAGGAGAGTATATAAACACATTATCCTCACCCGGAAGTAGGCAGGAGGGTGTCAGTCAGTTAAATAGGGTGCCTAGCATATTTCGGCTGCGGTGAAAAACAGAATGCAGAATACCATCTGCGGTAAACACGACCCCTAACGTTAGCAGTGAAGGCTCCCACACTAGTTAATCACGCCAGCCTGCGGCAGACATTCGGCAGCCTGGGCTAGACGGCCAGGCCGGTCTCAGGATGTACCTACCCAGAGATGGAGGTGGCTACACCTGTAAAGAAGCTGGAACGTACATTTGAACTACTTAAATGCTACGGACAGAGAGAGGGAGAGGGGGAGGGAGAGGGGGAGGGAGAGGGGGAGGGAGAGGCCGGGCTTCCATGCTCTTGTTAGAGTGACTTTTGAAGACACAGTGCAGGTAAGGGTGCAGGTGAAAAATGGATCAAAGATGCCACGGCAAAGAGAAACAGTTCACGGCAGGGGAAGAGGCCGAGGAAAATCGGAAGATGTTATCCTCTTAGAAACACGAAGGGCTCATTTCAGATCCAAATTGGCTTATGCCACAGGGGTATTAGCAGAGACGTTTCCAACAGGGGTTCTGGGGTGGAGGTTTCAGAACGCCAGGCGCTCGGCAGCATATGGAACTAAACATCTCACGAGCCCCTTGGATTTCTAGAGAGGCGCCCAACAGATTTGTTTCTAAGAACCTGCCCAGGAGTTACTAACATGTGCAGGTCGCACCATACTCAGCATTCCACACAAACCTGCAAAGAAAGAGGCACTGCGGCTGAGCCGGAGCGGTCCTCCTTCAGCCGCCCCCGGTGGCAGTTTGCTGCCGCATCCCTGCAGCACACCTGGGGCGGAGACACACATGGGGGCGGACAAAGTACACACACAGAAATAAACGCAGATTAAAGATAATGCCACAACAAAACACCACCACAAACTCAAAGAAAGCAAAACGCACACCCACAACGGCGGGACCCGGAGAGCACAGACCCCGCTTACGTGGCGGAGTTTACCTAGGTTACTTCCAGTACGACAGGGACCCAGGTTATTCTGATTTGTGTTCAGTTTCCCCAGGTTAGGATCTTGGTTGATGTATTCGAAGCTGTCTTGCAAGCTAAGTCCAGAGAGGGAAGGAAGGGAGAGAGAGGAGAAAAACATCAAGGGACGAACAAAGCTGTTTGCTAACAGACAACTTTTCTTCATGAATTAATAAAGTCTCACAACTACCGAAGAGACTTAAACTTTAGGGGAATTTGTTGCAGGAAAAGACAAGAGAGGCTTTGGAAGGTAGCTCAACCTATAAAACGAAATGACACATTCCAAACAATTTCACAATATTATGTAACGAGGGACACCGAATTCTAAAATCTTCCCCTGGTGACTGATACCTAGGATATGGCTATTCATTTCAAGGGTAATTTTACATAAACCCTGAAAATGAAATTCATTTTAACTCTTAGTTAACATCCATGAGCAATTCAGCAACCTTTTTCAGGAGGAGCACATAACAGAAATTATGATTCTTACAGGAGTTCGATTTCACAACTTCTTAAAAGTTAGAATTACTCATAAACACACGTGAGAGAAACAGCTTTTAATAATGTATTGTATTTGTTAACAAATGAAATAAAGATTTCGAGGATAATACAGCATAATGAAGCCAAAATAATTTTTACTTAAATCTGAGCTTGATATTTTATTAGAGGGAGTTAGTATAATAAATGTTCAGGTAATATCAAGGGTCAGAAAAATAATAACCTCACAAAAAAATAAATATCAATTCCTATACTGGCTTAAGTCATGACAATCCAGTGTTAAATGCTCAAAAAAGTAAATTCATTATTCTGTTGAAAAGTAAGCAGACTTACTCAAAGGTACCCAAATTTGAAGAGGTACATACTTTTAATTTCCTAGGATTGTAAAAAATAACAGCCTTCCTTTGACCCCTAAGAATACCCCTTTAATTTACAATAAACATTTCTTCCAAACTTACCCAAGTGTAATAAATGTTCTGTTGTTTTATTCAAAAAAGAAGTATGTGAAATATTTCTGCTTGAAAAATTCAAAATATACGAACAACTGTGCCAGACTAAGAGTTAAGTTAGACATTTAAGTATTCTTCGTCTACACAGAAGTGTAAAATTAAGAGGGGGGAGAAAAACTCGGGAGTGGGCTTCCCTGGTGGCGCAGTGGTTGAGAGTCCGCCTGCCGATGCAGGGGACACGGGTTCGTGCCCCGGTCCGGGAAGATCCCACATGCCGCAGAGCAGCTGGGCCCGTGAGCCATGGCCGCTGAGCCTGCGCGTCCGGAGCCTGTGCTCCGCAGCGGGAGAGGCCACAACCGTGTGAGGCCCGCGTAGCGCAAAAAAGAACAGAAAACAAAACAAAACAAACAAACAAACAAACAAAAACTCGGGAGTGAAAATCAAAATATTGCCTGGCCTGAGTCCTCACAGACCACAGAGGTTACACGGCTGGCTGACAGATGATCCCTCCTGCCATTCAGGTGCCTCTCAGCTTGGGAAACTCACCCTGTGCCTCATTCCTTCAGAAATAAATAAACGAGCAGACTGACAGGTGAGATTTTTTTGTTTAGTTTTGTTTTGCTTTGGTTTTGGTTTTGGCCGTGCCACGTGTGGGATCTTAGTTTCCCGACCAGGGATCACACGCAGGCCTCGGCAGTGGAAGCGCAGAGTCCCAACCACCGGACCGCCAGGGAATTCCCGAGATTTTTTTTTTTATAAGATGAAATAATATGCTTTTCCCCTTCACTTTTCATTTTCCGGGGAATGAGAACATGGTGACTGGCAGTAGGAACAGAGTGGGTTAACAGGTGAAGACCCCCAATATATGTATGTAGACCATCACTTGTCTTTAAGGCCCCCCGCTAAGGTCCAAGGCCTCTTCATACTCACTGTGTATTGGACAAAGGCCACCTTGAAAACCCCTTTGTTAATGTGGACTCATCCTGCTTCTCACCTCAAAACGCCTCATGGCCCCCAAAGAATGACTCTACCCAGAAACAGCCACTTGGAAAATCGGGGGGATGGGGAGCGGAGGGGGAAAATCCCGCACTTACTTATTTGTACTCCCACAGAAGCTGCCCATTCTGGCCGAGAAGACTTTACTAACCATCAGCTGTGGGGGAGAACTGGAGAAAAAACAAACGGACAGAAGAGGGAGAGATGCATGGGGTTTTTTTTTTGGTTTTTCATTTTTGGGTTTTTTTTTTTTAACTTTTTCTGAAGCTTCTATTCATTTCTATTATCTTATTTTACAGAAAATGAGACGTGCATTTTTCAAATCAGTGTATCAATGGGGTGTCTAGATTTTTTTCTAATTTTATCATTTTAAAATCCCAAGAATGTTGAAACCCTGAGAGAGAGCTATGGAGACATTGCCGGGGCCATTTTCCTTGGGAGCAAATATTTCAGATGAACAACCTTCGCTTAGCAGAAATATTGCAAAGCCGAAGTTTGTTTTTTTCTCAGGTTACAGTTTTCACCTGCCACGTGGCACAGACGAACAGACAGAAGGTTATAAGTGCAGGATTGGGAAAAGGCTTCCTTTCACACATCGCAGAGCTTGTGCCTCCAGTGAGTTAAATTCTATTCTGACATGCAGATAAGGAATGTGTTCTTAAATGTCGTCACATTCTGCTTTTTGCAGAAACTTTTATTCTAGACACCATTCCCTAGAAACAAAAATAAAACTCGGCATGCGTTCAATAATTTTAAAAAATAAGAAAAAATGTGTATCTCAATACAAGGAAACAATCATGACAAATTTTAATCTGAAAATGGAAAATTTGTGAAATTTTGACTTTAAACTTTAAACTTAAAATATCTGAATAACTCTGATTAAAAGTATTGCTATTACTAACCTAGCAGATACTCAAAATGCTTTGGTATGCATTTTTTCACTTACAGTACTTAGCTAAAGCTTAGGATTTTGTCCTGCTAAGCTGATTCAGGGTCAGACTGATGTAGAAAATGTCAGACTATGTTAACTGCTAAAGATATGTAAAAGATATCAAGTGCTAGCAAATATGAGATGACAAAGTTTAGATTATTATTTTACTGCATAACACTTTTGCGCATGTTTGAATGGAGTCATCATCCCCAAGCCATGTCTCACGAGCAGTGGCCCAAACTCACCGTATGTAGTGAATCTTCAGGGTGGAGCCTTTGTAGCTCATGGCGACCGAGCCGAACATCATCTCCCCAAGCATGTTGACATCAGAGGCGGGGCGCGTGTACTACCAGACGTACAAGAAACCAAAATCGTGTCGAGTACAACACGATAGAAAATAATGTGCAATTTTGTTGGTAATTAGAACCATTTCTCAAAGCAGCAACTGATCATTTTACAATCTTAATCTACAGTGGTGACTGCCTACTTTTTTCCCCAAATTATCACTAATGTTTCTTCCTTTTTTTTTTTTTTTTTTTTTTTTTTTTTCTGGCCTTACATTGAGGTCTTTAACGCAGCACAGGCTCCGGGACGCGTAGGCTCAGCAGCCGTGGCTCATGGGCCCAGTCGCTCCGCAGCATGTGGCATCCTCCCGGACTGGGGCACGAACCCGTGTCCCCTGCATCGGCAGGCGGACTCTCAACCACTGCGCCACCAGGGAAGCCCCCTAATGTTTCTTCTTTACACACTATATCCTCGTACAGGATGCAAGCGCTATACCAGAGTTCATTTTTAATCTGGTTATGAGAAACAACGACTTTCATCGTCCCCATTTACAAAGTCTAAATAGAAAGATTAAGTGACGGAAGAGGCAGAGTAACTCCTCTTGATACTAAGAACACATCCTGAAATGAAATATAGCTCAGGGTTATCCAACCAAAATCAACGTGTGGAACGAAAATGCCAATCAGTGTGGGCAGGGTTTTGTGGGTCCAAAAGATAACGAACAGTCTGGTCACCCCAAAGTTTGACTGAAACATTTAAAAACTTTTTGACCCCCTAGCTTCTGACCAGTCTTCGGCGTCCCCTTTATCACTACAGAGGGTGGACGGCACCTTCCCCCATCCCCCGCTATTCAAACGGCTCCTGTCACGGCCAATGGGCGCTTCCCAGTTTGCTTTATTAAACGTCTCACGGTATCTAATGCACATAATTGCTCTCCTTTTTATATTTTTTTAATTACTTTTTATTTTTTTTAGAAAGGCAGACTGCCACGTGAAGCGCCTCATTTGGATGTGTCTGGAGTCTTGGAAGCTCGACTACCCTACGTTCTCCTACAAATGGACCTTGAGAGCTTGTCTGGAGGTTCTAGCAGGGGAGCGCAGCTACTTGTATACCCTTGACCGAAGAACGGTCCTCCTCTATCGGGGAAGGTCGTCCGCTCCGACCGAGCGCGCAGCTTCGGGAGGGACGCACCTGGAACGGTGAGGGAGGAAGGGGACACCCGCCTTGCCAGCCCGATCGGCCGAATCATCCCTGGCGATCAATGGGGTGACAGATGTCGCAGCCAGATCACCCTCACATCCTGCTCTCCCTTTTATTTTTTTTTAATTTTTTTTATTTTTTGTGGTACGCGGGCCTCTCACTGTTGTGGCCTCTCCCGTTGCGGAGCACAGGCTCCGGACGCGCAGGCTCAGCGGCCATGGCTCATGGGCCCAGCCGCTCCGCGGCATGTGGGATCTTCCCGGACCGGGGCCCGAACCCGTGTCCTCTGCATCGGCAGGCGGACTCTCAACCACTGCGCCACCAGGGAAGCCCTGCTCTCCCTTTTAAATCTCTACCTTCCCATGTCATCCCTTGGACAGGGCTGTTCCTCAGAGGGCCCTCCTATCACTGTCTGCGTCCTCAACCGCCGCTGTGATTCCGGTTATTCCCGACGGGAACCCTCATACCTTCATCTCGGGGCCCGGACTCCCCTGGAGCTCAGGCGGCTGGAAGCCAAACGCCCTCACTCACATGATGTAACACTGTGCGTACTGTGAACATATGATGACACACAGGTGCATGCGTTTGCATACAGGATGCTCAGCTCCCACTGTAAGTGGTGGTGACACACGCTGAGGATGGATGTGAGTGTCAACCAAACCAGTGCGCACGACACCTGCACGGCCTGACCGAAATCGTACCTTCATCTCCTGTGACCCAGGCCACCAGCCAGACTCTCTGCTGCCTCGCTTTCTACCCAAGCAAAACCATGGCAATCAGCCTTTCAACTCCAAATCCACACGCATACGCATATATATCCACACACACGGACACACATATACACACCTACTTACACCTGCTTGCAAAGGAGGGAGGAGGAGCAGACATCTATCCGCCTGATTTAACGAGCCTGCTACCAACCTCTTCTCGCTTCCTGCAGACAGAAACTAACAGGCCTTCACGTTCTTTATGAATAACTTCCACCCATCACCTCCATTTCTGAACCTGCTTCTTCTTGGGGTACAAGGACCACGTGCCAACTGCAATTCTCAACTCGCTGAAAATTTCACTCTATGCTGTTTTAACCACATACTGCTTTGAGAGCCGGCAGCTCTGTGGAATAAGGGCAGACGTCTGCACAGCAGTGATCCCGACCGTGAAACGAACAATGTTCGTTACACCTGTGGCTGCTGGTATACACCTCCCTGGCTTTGCTGTGTCAGCAACACGGTAGACAAAATTCCTCATAGCTTCCAAAAATAAAAATAAACACTCATATATCCTCCATCAGGTAGTACCCTTCTGCTATTCAATATTTATGAAACCTCTTTCCTTGTGCCCAGCTGGCCAACATTTCTCAATATACCAGCCCTTCACACTTCACACTCAAGTTAGGTCTTGCCTTTCCATCTGCCTCTATACAAGGCTTTTTTCCTTCTACTGGCAAGTGCTATTTTCTCAGGATGACAATATTCATCCCCAGAATCCTCAGAGCTCTTAGAAAAAAAACTGGAAAACACATGTGCATTAATCTGGCTCTGACCACCAAGGAAGCAAAACAGGAGGGTTTACCTCCTTTGCAATATTTCTCTTCATTCGGTGTGTGTGTTTCACTGGATTACTGCTGCTCCATTATAGTTTTTATCAAGAGATAAAGCCAAAGTGTGAGCACAGCACTGGCCTGAAACACCTAAGAGCATATTTTGGGGGTTTTTTGTTTATTTGTTTCTTCTATTTTTATTGGAGTAGAGTTGATGTACAATGTTGTGTTAGTTTCTGCTGTACAGCAAAGTGAATCAGTTACACGTTGTACACATATCCCCTCTTTTTAGATTCTTTTCCCATAGAGGCCATCACAGAGTACTGAGAAGGGTTCTGGATACTTAGTCTCCTATCCCAGGGATGGGGCCCTCAAGCAGCCATTATCCCCGAGGAGAAATGGCAGTAAATGGCTTCAGCCTACGGGGTATTCCGCATGCAAGGGTGGCTGTACCTGGTACTTTGGAAGCTGCTCCTTGGCATGTGGTAAAGATCCCCCGGAAGAGCCGTGGGAAGAGAGGCTGCCGCTGCCACCTCCTTGACAGCACTTGGCTGGCGTTTTCGTGGGGACGTCCTCCGTTTTCTGGGTGAACAGGGAGAGGAGGGTAAACAGACCGCCACCGCTGAGCGTACCAGGCTCCCCAGCACACGCTCACTGGGGGCCCCTTTCTCACATCGTTCTGTTCTGTTGAGCCTCAGCTGCACAGAAAAACCGGGGTGTTGTTGTTTTCTTTTTAACGAGGACAAAAGAGTGGTTCCTGTGAGTCTATAACATTTGGAAGAGGCAGATGCTGAGAAGGGTGATAGAGGTGGTATTAAGACCATTCTCTTCATTTTATTATTATTATTATTATTATTTTGGCCGCACGGCTTGCAGGATCTTAGTTCCCTGACCAGAGATTGAACCCAGGCACCCTGAACTGGAAGCGTAGAGTCCTAACCACTGGACCACCAGGGAGGTCCCCAAGAACACTCTCTTTAAATAATTCAACTATTTTTGACGTTTCAATTCATATTTTAAAATCATCGATGAGATCTGACCTCTGTTCTGGTTGTTAGAGGGTTTTTTAGTACTACGTAGAGTCATAATCTACCAAACTGATGAGGATACAGACATTGCTTCAAATTTAAATGTTCCCCAAGCAAACGGAATTGAGAAGGCAGAAGTATTTATTCATTTGGAAAGACCAGCATGTGCTTTAATGACACTCCTCCCCCCACACGGCTTTAGAGAAAGTCATGAGGTCAAGCTTGTGAAAGATGAGGACAAAATGCTGGAACAGGGGCTGCTGTGATTACACAGCACGTGAGGCAACACGGCCTCCAAAGGTCATGGCTTGCAGAGGATTAGCTACTACACGTTCCCTACGTGGAGTTCGTGGCAGATTTTTAGGACAGTGACACGGAGGCATAAGGATACACCTTCACTAACGTTTCCCTTCCTCCTAGGCCAAGATACACTACTCCCTACAGAAGCAGCCTGTGCCCTCCGTGATACGTTGTTTCTATCCTGAGACTTCTTTGCTTTTTTGTGCGTAGCTTTGCTTGGAAAAACATGAATGCAAGTGCAGCTTATCTAATCTCCAGTGTGACAGTCACACTGATGGTTGAATGCAAATGCCTGCAGTCACGTGCCTGCTGCTGACTCCTGACATTTCGCGCCTGCCCATGGGGTGGGGGGCTGAAGATGGGGGAAGAAGAGAAGGGGAACAGGAAGCCTGCCCCCAGCAGTCGCGGGCGGGATGGCGATCCACGGCCCTGCAGGGCCTGGAGTGACACGCGGTCCACACCCGCCCCACACTGCTGGGCCCACTGGCCGCGCCGTCCACGACTGGCGACAGCTCCCGGTACACTGAGCAGAGCCCCCGCTGGACTCCCTCTGCAGCCTCGGGCAGTTTCCTAGCCTCCCCGGGCCCAGCTGCCTCTGTGAGGAAATGACTGCGTCCATCCCAGGAAGCTTCTCTTCCAGACTCCGGGGGTCATCATTGCTCCTACAGACAGGATTCCGGTTATTTTTGCAAACCGGTGAGAATTTTTTCCCTCCACCTGCTACCACCAACAGGAGCCCTAGTGACGGAGCGTGGGTGTGCAACTACACCATCTGTGCAAGGCCTTGGGGAGACAGGAAGTGATGTGGAAAACAGGGGGAAGCCGTGTGCGGTCCACCAAACAAAGGGCTGAGTGCTGGCTCACCTGAACTAATACCAATCTACCATGGAAGCCTTCGCTGAATCACCGAGAGATTTCTCATCCCCCCTGCCCCAGCCACCCACCTAACAAGCCCAGCAACGGCTGTAATGATTAGCTACCTGGCCAGCTTCCACGTGAAAGCACCACGGGATCCGCAAAGCTAAACCGCCTTTAACCAGACACTTCCTTCCTGCAGAAACGACCGTATCAGAAGCAGGACGAGACCTCAGCCCTGACGAGACAGAGACCCTGACATAAACTATTCAGCTACTTAGCTGCACATTCTCTAAACTGCCAGGATTTGGTCAGTACAGGTATCAGGTTACTGAACATGGAAAGAAGGAACACAAAGGGATTTATTTAAGTTGTAGACATCTGAATAACTGCTGAAAGGCGATAAGTCAGAAGTACACTGGATGGCCACCCTGAAGACTCACAGGGAGGACTAGACCCTGCTCCTGCCTGGACACATCACTCTACCTTTCCCATTCTGGCTCCGAGGGATCGAGAGCTGCTCTGTCCCCACTTTACCCACCCTCAGACCCCCACGCCCCATACCACCACCACCAGCACTACGACCACCACCATCACCTCTGTCACCGCCACCATCACCTCCATCACTTCCATCACCATCACCTCCACCATCACCTCCATCACTGTCATCACCTCCATCACCACCAACACCTCCATCACCATCACCACCACCACCACTTCCATCACCATCACCTCCACCATCACCTCCATCACTATCACACCTCCATCACTGCCACCTCCATCACCATCACCACCACCATCACTTCCATCACCATCACCTCCATCACCACCACCACCCTCACCTCTACCATCACCACCGTCATCATCACCACCACTACTACCCCCACACTGCCCTCCGCTATAAAAAGGAAATAAAACTTCCTTGGTCAAACAGGCTTGGGTTGCAGGCCCTTTTGCAGACGACAGTGCATGTTAGCACCCTGCAGCCCCGTGGCAAGGAAAGCGCTCCAGTTTTGTCTAACCCAGTGCTATGTATCACCTCTCACTATCTATGGGTAATACCAGACCTTCCCTTCAGGCGAACGCTTCATGAATTTTAGCATTCTCAGCTTTCCCATTAATGGCACACACTTGGCATCAAAATCCTACTGGATTGCAACTTACCAGCAAATTCGCTTCTGGTAACGTCTAAAGTACAATGCTCAGCATCTGCACGATGACTTGCTAACAGTCTCACCTGTGTATATTAATAAGAACGCAAATGGGGTGGGCGGAGGGACCTCTGCCCGTGTTTCCTCTGAACCACTAACGGCGCTGTGCAATTCAGCCCAAAGAGCAGGCAATGGACTAATAAACAAAAAGGAGGAAAGCAAATCCATATTTCCTACCTGAGTTGCCACCTCCTCGATCTTGTGAACAGCTTTAGAATCAAACAAGACTTGTCTGCCTCTCCTTTCACAGTCCTGGTAAACTATCAGGCGAATCTCGTTCAGGTCCAACTCCGAACAGGACCAACTGTGGATTCACAAGAGAGAAAGAAGTCGTGTTAGCGGCGACGCTCGGGATGGTCGCAGACAGACAAGTCTCCCAGCCGGTGTCCGCCTGCACATGGAAGCCCCAGTGTGCAGAGGGCGTGACCCCCACAGACCCGGGCACATGGCCCTGTCCGTGGACTCCGATGGGCCAGTGCCCATGACCAAGGCTGGGAAGGCTCCTGAGATGATAAACCACTGGAGAGAAAGCTTCTCCTTCCAGAGCAACTTTGGGCAGAGACATCAGGCAGGAGTGGCCAGGGCTGTGGAGGGAGCTGAACCCGGCGCCTGGGTTCTGGGGGCGTCACAGCTGAGGTCGGAGGCTCTGGAGCGTTCATGTCTCTGCGCCGTCGGGCCAGGAACCTGCATCCAGTCAGGGGAGCCCTCGCTTTTCCTCTCCCACCCACCCAGGCTCAGGACAAACAGAGAGGGCTCACATGTCCTGAAACTTAAGTCTTTTCTTGTATCGTGGCTGGTCTGACACGGAAGTTTGGAAAACCAAGTGCATCACAGTACAGCGTCTGAATGGCGGAAAATGACCATCAGCGATAAAGACAACCAAAAGCCTCTGGGACAAAACTGCTCCGAACGCAGGTTCGTTCTCGAGCAACAAGTGAAATCAGAACGCAAGGACTAAGAAAGGGCAACCATCAAAATGCACCACTTTGGGCATCTTCAGTTATGTGTCTGTTAATCAGTTGACACAGATCTGAGTGCCTGCTGTGTAACCGTCACTGTGCTCGAAGCTAGAGATTGAGCAGTTGTTTAACTAAGCAGACTTTGTCCCTGCCCTCAGGGAGGACACAGTTCAGTGTGGAACACTGGGCGAGTCGTCACGTGTAACTACAGATGTCCAAGTGCAAGAAAGAAAAGGATGTGGTAAGACTCATATTTTCAAGTTTAAGCGGTGCCAGGGAGCTGCAGGGTAGTCCCTAGAATTTAAGGAAGGGACATTTAAGCATGAATTGAAGAAGCAGGAGTTAAAGAGAGGTAAAGTGTGGGAACGAAGGACACAGCAGGAAAGAGGACAGGACGGAGGAGATGCAGGAAAAGACAGGCAGAGGGAGACAGCGAGCTGCAGAGGGCAGTGGGCAGGTGGCAGCAGGGGCCAGCTCATCCCTGAGGGCAGGAGAGCAGGTGGATAAACTCAGCCTGCACTTTCCAGAGGTCAATTTGCAGCTCTAAGGAAAACAGGGGCAGATTAAGACTAGAAGCAGGAGGGCCAGGTAGAATTTACTCTTAAGAGCTTGGGCCCTTCAAACCAAGGCTAGAGTGACAGCAGCCGGGGGGAGGGGAGGGGACAGGTACCGGCAGCAGGTTCAGTGTGGACGGAGGCTGGCAGGTGCCAGGCGCTGCAGGCACAGAAGAGGAAGGTGGTGGCAGACGGAGAGTTAGAGGACAGACAACATCACACTATAAAACTAAGAGATGGTGTAACAGAGTGAAGTCAGACACATGTGGATACAGATCCACATCCTCTGAGATCCGTTTCTCCATCAGTGCGACGGACATATTAACACCAAGCTCACAAAGCTGCCGTAGGAATTAAATGAAAGTGCTTTACACAGCGGCTGACACAGGTAAGTGCTCCAAAATGCTAATAATTACCTAAAGAACTGTTCATGCTAACGATTTTTTAGAAACATCACTACAGCATCTGGTCCCCAACCACGAATTGCGCATCAGTGGTCCTTTCCTTTTCAGGCTGCGATAGTTAACACAGAACACGTGCTTTTCGGGGAGCAGATCTGTTGGCTTAAATCCTAGCCTCCAAAACATCAAGTTCTGGTTGCACCTTCTCAACAGCCTGTGCTCTAAACTGCCAGGCCCAGCGCCCTTGGTACTGTTTTTTTTTTTTTTTTTTTTTCGTTCTCCGCGGCACGTGGGATCTTCCCGGACCGGGGCACGAACCAGCGTCCCCTGCATCGGCAGGCGGACTCTCAACCACTGCGCCACCAGGGAAGCCCTGGTGCTGGTTTTGATACACCTCGGCAAGTTTGTTTCAGAAGTTGATCGTCTCCGGCTCTCAGTCCAGGCCTGGCTGGTTGGACACGTCCCCCTAACCCCACCTGGGCTGTGCAGCCGGGGCCTGTTTTTCGCTGTCGCGAGCTGAGAGCTGACCTGAGGACCGAGTCACCAGAGGAAGCAGTGGGGAGCCATCAGCCAGCTCTCTGTCACCCCAACCCGACAAGTCCCGAAGCCTGTGCCCGGAACCATGACATTTTACACCAGGTCATTAAAAACACCCTCTGCAATTACTAAAGCACAGTACACAGGTCGAAGTCATTAACATCGAAAAAGCGACAAAGATTTAATGGCTTTTTGCTTTCATGCTCAATCTGTTTTGCCCCAACAATGACATCTTGTCAAAACAGCATCATCATTTACAAAGCAACCTGCTCAGTCCTTATTTCTGAGGGTTAACTGTGACTCAAATGTCAGTCGAACTGAGGACAGCCCCTCTGGAAGAGCTAAAATTTAATAATGATCACAACACCCTATAAAACATTTCATGTTATTTTTCAATTTAAAAAGATGAAAATTAAAGACGTGGGAAAGGAAAACCATGTATGTGAGATGGTCCAACTTTCTGAGCATCCGAATACTTTAAAAAGCATTTTCTAAAATACGAGGAAAACTCTATTCCCCTTCTTGCACATGAATAGTGTCACTGATTTAACACCTAATTGTAATTCTGGCGTCCCCCGTCTCTGACCTTAGTAGAGGGAGTCGAGTCACCCGGGACAGGAAATGCAGGCGGTTAAACGATGCTTCCGAAGGAAGCAAGCTTGGTTCCCCCCTGGACTCTGGCCCCGCCGTGCGTCACAAGGACGACAGGCACTCAGGCGCGGACCCCCAGCATGCCGCGGGCTCCTCCGTGCCACCCTCGAGTCACCCGTGGCCACAGCCATACATATTCCCTTCGTGCCCACACTCACCCCAACCCCCAGACACCGTTCCTGGAGCTTTGCTGAGGGCGACTCTCTGCAGGATTGCAAGAGGCTGAAAAATGAGCCTTGGGCCTTTGCCGTAAAATATCTGGCTACAGCTGTAAAGACATTTACTCTCATCAGAAACACTCTGTGTCTTGGCTTTTGTTGAAAGCAAGGGAAGATCACTGCCCCTGGCATCAGGGGACACGGCATTATTTGTCTACTTTATGGTCACAGCTGTACGACCTGAGGCAGAAGAAAATAAGATGGTTTGTCTACCCTTCCCTGTAAAATTTAAACAGCAGTACTTAGATAGACCCTTTCCAGTTTTAAAATTCTACGATGTGAAGATTTGCCTGGTTGGAACTAAACCAGATCTTATTTCTGGAACTGGTCATCAAGAGAGCAAAGCGAGGGACCAAAGTCTCAATCACTTACCTGAAAGGTGACAAGCAATAATCGTTCAAATGATTTTAAGTAGAGAAAACAGAATCGTCTTTAAGGTAGATATAACCATGTGTTGCGGCTGAATTGTGTCCCCCCAAAAGAGATGTCCAGTTCCTAATTCCTGGTACCTGTATGACCTTGTTTGGAAACAGGGTCTCTGCAGATGTCATCAAGGCGAGGCCATCCTAGATCAGCCTGAGCCCTGATCCAAGGACTGGTGTCTTCTTAAGAGGAGGGAAATCTGGGCACAGACACAGGGAAGATGGCTGTGTGATGCCAGGGGCAGAGATGGGAGCTGTGGGCTACAAGCCCAGGAAAGCCAAGGAACGCTGGCCCTCGGGGGGTAGGGGGTGGATACTACAAATAAGAAATGTCCTTATTCCTAAGAACTTGAAGAGGCAGGCATGTGGGTGACCAGAGAAAACAAGAGGACAAGGCACAGGAGACGTGCCCGGGAGAAACAGCGTCTGGACTGGAAGGAGTGAAGGGTGGCCAGGCTCGGGCGTGGCGGCGAGCGGCAAGTCGCTGCAGGCCGAGGGCAGGGCACAGGCCCACGGTCGAGTGGCACGGCGTCCAGGGCTGGGGCGGCTAGGCTAGGGCTCTTGCAGCAGGACCGCACAGAACTGGGAAGTTCAGGACTTCCGGAGCAGGACCTTGACTGCTACGTCAAGGAACGTGTGTCTGCTCTACAAGCAATGGGGTGTGTGCCATTCCAGCCTCCTGAGAGAGCGACTGATGCGATCAGACCTGTGCTAGGAGAGGACTGAAGCTGCCTGAGAAACCATCTTCTGGGAAATGGAGAGGGGCCCTGACCTGCGCACCCAGGGTTTCCAGGCCTCGAGCTGGCAAGGACCAGGCCGGGAGGTGTCAGGTTCGCTGCAGTGATTTGTCCCCCGGGACCTGCAGGGTGGGCGTCGGATTCCTCCCCTGAACATTTGCAGGAATCAGGCTGGAAGTGGGCTCAGTACGCCCGGTGGAACCACGGTCTATGAGAGAAGAAGACCTCAAAAATATTCTTCCTGTGGCTCTCACGCAAGGACACAAAAATCGTCAAAGTCAAGTTCACAGGCGGAGTTGAAAGACCGTCTTGTGATCTGAGAACGCGAATGTTTAAAGAGTCAGGTATGGGCTTCCCTGGTGGCGCAGTGGTTGAGAGTCCGCCTGCTAATGCAGGGGACACGGATTCGTGCCCCGGTCCGGGAAGATCCCACATGCCAAGGAGCGGCTGGGCCCGTGAGCCATGCCCACTGAGCCTGTGCGTCCGGAGCCTGTGCTCCACAATGGGAGAGGCCACAACAGTGAGAGGCCCGCATACCGCAAAAAAAAAAAAAAAAAAAATGAAAAAAAAAAAATAAAGAGTCAGGTATGCTAGGGAACTTTAAATGGTCCAAGAAAAAGGAATATGAAACACCACAGAATCAACAAAACCGACAATGATGGTCACAACCAAGACTGGCAAACACCATCCATCCATCCGCCCAGCAGCTCCAGGCCCTGGGTACGGCCGCGGGCCAGCCACGGCCACTGCTCCCATGAACTCACTGAGTTCATGGCGACGTTTTCCCGCCACGAAAATAAAGGATCAGCAGGGTGGAGGAAAAAG